TGCATGTCAGCATGTTGTTGTCAGTCTGGAAACCTATTGTCACTTTAAATAGCTTTGTAGTGGCTGTAGCTCAGGAGGTAGAGCAGAGCATCTATAGACTGGAAGTGCTTGTGTGACTACAGCATGTTGTATAAAGTGCTTTCAGTGCTCCGGGAGAGTAGGAAAGCGCTTTACTGTTTACTTTCTATATGTAGCCAAAACATACGACAGACTTTAAGTTCGAAAGCTTTTTGTCTAAGAAATCCTTACGTTGACCTTGGTGAATGTAAGCCAAATTTTAATGGATTGTTAACATGACCCCACTCTGCACCTCTAGAAAAGTTTTATCAGGATACATTCAAAACCTTCCAAGGTATCATTTTTTTATGGACAGAATGACGCACGTGCATGCAAACGCTACTAAAACCACAACCTTGTGACCATGGTTTGAAAAACCAGTCTGTGTTTGTTTCTTCAGTTCAGAAATTGTTACAGCGTGAAAATCAGCCAGAAACCAACCAGCACGGTGATCTTCTGAACAAGCCATCTTAGTTTACTAGCTTGCAAAGCTATTTCTGTCTGACTCAATATCTACTCTCTAGGTACAATGTAGCATTTGACAGAAGATGGGACGGGGCTAGCAAATTAGAATTCTAATTTTAGTAGATTTTTCTGCTACCCAGGTATGTTTAAAAACGTGTTATCGAAATGACTTGAAAGTTTTATTTAATTGTGTAATGCTTATTGCTTCTTGAAGATTTAATAATTATATTTTCAAATTAAAAATATCATAAAGACCTCGTGCAATACTGATGGATTATCCATTACAGAAACATAAAAAAAATGATTGACGTAATTACCAGTACTTTTAATTTAAGGCAGCTGTGACATAAACTTTACACTGAGTAGTGATCTAATAAATCTAATAACCTATAAACTTGTTTGCCTTCATAAAACATTAGCTGATATTTGTGGAACATGGCTATGTCATGGTCCCTGTGCCTCCCCTGCCAGCCCAGTGTGGCCACAAGTGTTTGTTGTTTCTCTCTCTCTCTCTCTCCTACCTATCTGCCTGGGCGGAGCTCTGATTGGGCTCCCGCCCTTGGCCCACGCACCTGCAGCTGATCTCGAGGGATTTGCAGGTGATCTCTGGCTCTTCTTAAGGCTGGGGCTCTGAGCTATTCGTCGCTGGAATATTGAGTAACCCTCGTCAGTATTGCCTGGCTTCATTGTGAATCAGTTGTTCCCGTGCTTGCCGCCGACTTACCCTCGTCTATGTTTATAGGTTTATCTGGACGCGTAAGTTTTGACTCCTGGACCCCGTGAGTGTGAGTGGGCTGCTCGTGTGAGGAGTGTTTGGACAAGGAGCGGAGCAAGTGTGAAGAAGTGTTTCCCCGGCCTATTGATCCCCGGGACCCTGGTGTCCCCCGCCCCCCTTCACGTGTACATAGCGCACCGGAGTGATTAATAATGAACCGTGCTACCTCAGTCCGTCCACCACCATGACAGGCTACATATGTTTGCCTGTGTAACAGGTAGGCTCATGCATTGTGTCAACATACCACTACAGACCAAGATCCTCACATTGTCTGTTGGTTATTTTTGCAGTAATGATGACACTAGAACTATAGAAACATTTATGTCAACGTGCACACAGTTAAGTAGGTGACTAACCTAGCTTGCAGCATAGCCTTTGTGCCATTGCTCACCGAGCAGAAGTAATAGTGCAGTTCTACCATTTCACAAATATATTTGCCTCTAACTCCGCTAGGCACATACAATATACATTTACATGAAGATGAAATAGTAATTAAAAAGAATAGTGTCTTAAAGTAATCAACACACAGTCAATTAAACAACCTACATGTGTATTCTTCTTCTGGCCTGTATATTGTTTCAGGGCCTGGTTCATGATGCAAAGGAAGGCCCTACACCACCACCTCCTTCTGATAAAATCCACCTAATTAATATCGTTGTGCATTCTGCAGATGTCGCTTAAAGACAATAGCTTTTAAAAATTAATGATCTCTAAGTTCAAGTGCCTTTCATCATATGCAGCATATTATGAGTGCTAGTGAAGAGAGCAGATCATATTGTTTCTGTCTTTTAACAGTTCCTAAAGTATAAGTTTGCCTTATAAATTAAATAGTTATCAGTTTTAAATATACGCTACCATGTACTTACCTAGTGAAACTTGACTGAGTAGCAGTGCGTCACTTCCACTTTGCACAAATCACAGCACAATCTAGATACAGTTTCACTGCATGGAAGGGAAAAAAGTAGCCGCATCTAAAACAGCTGTCAAACAAAAAATGAAAAAAAAAAAAAAAAACAAAAAAAAAAAAAATCCCTACCTGGAAAAAATGTATACATCAATAAATAAAAGGCACTGTTCTGTGCCATGCAGTTCAGAATCTTTCTTTCAAAATAAACCAATGACATAAAAGTAATGACAGTGCAGTGATATAAACCTTTTACAGTGCAGCTGTGTGTCAGCTCATTTTTGGCATTAAGTTTCACCAATTAGTAATGCTATGCTGGAATCACACCACATGGCAGTGACTGTCTCCTAAGGTAGCCTATGTAGTAATATGATAAAGCACAGTTTAGTTTTATTCAGTGTTGCCATGTTGCTAGCTATATATGACAAAACTAGCGGATCCTGTGAGTGTGTAAATAAAGGTATATTACATTTTGTGGGGACCCTGCAGTTCTGGATTAGTTGCTTAGGATGGAGTATGGTACTCCAGCACTGGGAAAAAAACATAGCTTCCTCTGTAAGTCCTATCCTTGTTTCTGGACATAGCCAATACTGTAACATCATCCTCTAAACGAACAACGAGACAAAAGGTGAACAAGAGTGCTTGTTTCAGAAGCTGTAGCCAAGACATCCGGGAGGAGGGGGGCTCACCATGTTTTTGCTGCATCGCTATTTTTGTTTGCCCCGGCTATATTAAACTTTCAGGACTTGCTGCAAAAACACGCTAATCTCCGAGCGCCGTCAGGAACACGTACGTCTGGCTCTGAGGTTTCTGCTGGATGCGGCCTGTGTCGAGTTGAAATTTGTCATATCTTCCTCCCGCCGATGTCTGTCCCCTCTTCACGTTTTTTCACTGGTATTTGTCAACAGAGTCTCTCCTTAGGTCACCAGTGACACACCAGCACTGCAACTTAATTACCCACAAACCTTTGGGAGAAATAGCCAAGAAGTACCTCTTATCACTGTGACTCTTCTGCCAGAGGTAATGTGAAAACTCCTTCCGTGCTTTTACTCTGTCACCATGCATTTCATCCTTGGGGCTAGCTTTTCTTCCTCATCTGACCTCTCTCTCATCCCTCTCCCTCCCTTGAGAAAGTTCCACTTGGTGGCCTTTCTCCGGGGTGACTGATGGCTCCTCTATGGGCAGACTCATCCAGACTTAATTACCCACAAGCCCCTCGGAGGGCAAATGCAGAGTGACCGAGGCATGCGCACTATGTCATCCCCTCTCCCCCTCTTGCTCCTTTAGTCCAGCATCGCTGAGTGGATTGTTAAAGCCCATCCACTGTGTCTATTTTTCACTATGTTACATAACAAAACCGCATTTGTTTTTTGGGCGGGTGTGGGTTTGGGGGGTTCTTCCTTGAAAGAGGATGCGATTAGCATAAGTATTACCCCCCCCTCCCCCAGTTATTCCAGTTTAACCAGACTTCAAACCAGCAGAAATGTTCTTGTTACATTTTCAGACAGACCAGCGGGGCCTCTGATTGGTCACAGTTAAGCTTCAGTGCTGCTGGCTAACAAAGTTTGTCATGCCCAAACACCCAAAGGTGGTATTATGAAAAAACAAAACCCCAAACACGGGATTGTACACTCCAAATCAAGACAGAGGGCTACTTGTATTCCTCTGCAAATGCCCTTGATGCAGCTCACACCCACACACAACACACTGGGATCGATTTGAAAATTTATTTTCATATAAAAAAGACACTATGAAAACATTAGAGGACTACTTTGTACAATCTTATGTATAAAAAGAACAAAAATGGAGAAAGGGATGAGTATTCAGTAATAAACCAGCTGGAATGTTGGATGGTTGTAGCGGTCGGGTTAACACTGAAGCATCAGGGTGGAGGGCGAAGGTGAACATGGGGTGGGGGGGGGTTAAGTTGGCTTGAACATGGAGTTGAGTTGCAAATTCTCTCTCCTTAGCTTTGTACTTGTTTGTGTGGGTTTATTTTTGTAAGACTGACAGGAAGAAAAATTGAGATGGCATTCTGACCGGCATCTTCTCGTGGTTAAATATGCATCGCAGAAGAGGAAAACGTTGAAGTTTCGAAATGTTAAGACCCAAGATGAATATCTCAATCAGACAGGCAGCGTCTCACTTACCGTTTACTCCGAGAAGAAAACTTAAAAGCCATTCATCAACGCGCCTGAAGCTGTTCACGCCACAATAAACAAATCGGGGAGGGGGGCTGTATCAAAACGTCACATTGTGTGAAAATCAAACCTGACTATTTTTCTTTTCTGCTTGTGGGTTTCTGATGGGAAGGGGAGGGGGTCTACAAATGATTGGTTTCTCATGGACTCACATGGGGGCCTGGCAGACAGTCGCTTTGTTCTGTTGGACACACTGTGCAGTAGATCTGGAAAAGCAGAGCCTCCTCACAGAAGGTCAGGTGAATGTGACCTTAGCTCGGCAACTTGGGATCAAACCTATCTCGCTCCTCTGAGAGAGGGCGAGCTGTAGGTTTGCTTATCGGCTGATTAACTTGAAAGGTTAGGAGGGCCGCGCTCTTGTCTCACCATCTGCGCTGTGCTGCTCTACTACCACATTAGGGATCTTTAAACAGATGGTTTGAGGGCTGCATTGGAAAATGTCAGGACAAATCGCCATCCCCGGATAATTACTGTTTTTGAGCGCTCCCCTTCCTCGGTATCTCTGCCTGCCTCTGGCTTTTTTTTATATAATTTATATTTAGAACTTTCCTCCTCGGCTACCATTTTTCTTCGTTTCTTCACCCATAAGCTGTCTCTATTTTTTTTCTTTTTCTATCCACACTGTTAGATTAATGGCAGCTGCTTTGAACATAGACAGAAAAGTTATGGAGCTATCATTTGAATTCATCCTGCACTCTCTGACACTTTCTCTCTGCTGGTGTGTGGAGGACTGATGTGCTAATGTAGCAGCAGCAGAAAACTGGTCGTCCTCTTGTAACCGCTGAAGTACGGAGGTAGAATGTCAAGCAGAAAGCATCACCATCGGCTCCTCTTCAGTCTGACACCTTGTAGCCTTATAACCTGTGATTCCCTCCCCGTCTTTCTGCGAGCGGGGAATTACATATCTCTGCTCTGCTGCTAGACTTCATGCCTTCTAGGAGCACGACACTGAGTGGGCAGAGTGAGCAACAGAGGAGCGGCGCTGTAAGCAAAGAAAGGCATGTTTGTAGAGCTCGTGATGAAGTCCTCGGATCGTGTGATGTCTCATTACTGGATTCAAAATCCTCCTCAGATCATTTGAAGCTAACAGAGGTTTTTTGACTGGGGGAAACTGATCAATTCTTCACTCTAAAGCAGCACATTTCTCAGGATCTCAAAAGCATTCCTTGTAGGCAGAAGTGCCTGAGATACTCTTCTTTTCTGGCTTTAGTACGACTGGTGATGGTTGAACTGGAGTCTGATATTTAAGTCTTATACTACTCTTCTCTTTAAGCAGCAGAGGGGAAAAGAAGGAGATGCACGAATCTGCATGATTCGCATCCTTTTTTGTTCCCTCTCTTGGGGGGCAGTGGGCGGGGGATCTCACGTGGTGCACATTATGTCAGAAAGCAAGCTCACATTTATGTGCTGTGTAACTGTTTACAGGAAATTAAAAAAAAAAAAAAAAGATATATAATAAGAATGAAAAAGCATCACAAACCCAACCAAATTCTCCAAATGAATCTATTCTTTTTTTCATCAATGGGACCATAGAACACAACTCGGTTGGTAGTTTTTTGTTTCAGTTGTGTTATTTTTTTCCTGTAGGGGAGGACATTTGTTTTTTTGGGGGGGAGAACCAAACCATAGAAAAAATATACTGAATGAAGTAATGTGATGTTAACACAAAGAGTGCGACAGGAACGGGTGAATAAAGGTGTTGAAATGAAACCTGAAAAACAGAAGAGAGGATGGCACATATCATCGAGAGGCTCTGTCCCCACTCTCCGCCCCCACATTCCCTGTCCGTTCACATAGGAAAAAAAGAAAAGAAAAAAGGAATAGATAAAGACTGACCAATTTGATTCTCAAGGGGAAAAGCAAATTGAGAACAGGGTGCCTTGGAAGGGAGGAGGAGGAGGAGGGGAGGCTACCCAAGTGTGAGAAACCTCGGTGAGATCTTTTCCCCTTGCTATAAAACAAATATCTCCCACCCCCACCCCCACCTCAAAGACATGAAACAATTGAAAGAGGTTATCTTTTTTTATCTTCTCCAGAATAAAATCAAGACAATTTCTCTGAAATAAGTTTCTCATAGTTTTTTTTTCTTTTTTCTTTTAAAGTTCATTTAAAAATCTTCTCTTTTTTAATCAGTCACAGACATGTCAAGCCCCTGTTCTTTCTTTTCAATAGTCTTTGCGAAAATATAGAGTAGAACAGTCTTCTTTCCATGTCTGTCCGCTGCAGCAGTAAACATACACTATGGGATCCGACAGAGCACATCGCAGGAGATGGGGAGGTGGGGAGTAGTAGAGAGTGTGTGTGAGTGTGTGTGTGATCCTTGCAGAGAACTCGTGTACCTATGTATAGCTTTTCAGTAGTCCGGTGTCTCTGTGTGCATCTGCACCTCGGCACGAGAGAGCGTGTCTGTTTCAGTGGGTGTGTACGTCTGCGTGTCTTCACACTTCAGTCTGGAAGTCTCCCTCGGATGAGTCGGGGGTGTTAGCCGAGGACGAGTCCCAGTTTTTATTGTGCAGTTCCATCCGGTCCTTCTGCTCCCCGGGCACGATGGACAGCTCGGGGGTCATGGTCTTGAAGCTGTCCCAGGAGCTTTGGTCCTCTGGGGTTGACTTGTCCTAATGGAGAAGAGGGACAAAGAGAGGGGGCGGGAGGACAACCATTTTAGGAAAATTCTGAAAACGCTTTCATGCCGTCTGATGGAGAATTACATTTTACAAGATAATATTATCCCCGTATCTTTTCCTAATTACAGGCTACAAATAGCACTCATCTGCTTAGTTTAGTGTAAATAAAGAAAAGAGGAAAAAAAAGGAGGAAAAGGAGGCTGATGACCAATGAGTGATAAGCAACATGCTTATCACTTATAAAAAGGTCTACCGAGTGTAATTTGTGCAAAAACTGAATTTCACGAGAGAGATGTTTTAGCAGAGCACACACACCACCCTAGGAAGTTCGGATTCATTTAACGACCAGAGCAATGACCGCGTTTCACGAGATATCAGAAGTGCAATATTTTTCAGCCTGTGTACCCGCTGTATCTGTGCGTAACACGGTCGTCATGTAAAATAAATGATCGCTACCAGCACAGGGGAGCGCTGACGTTTGGTTTTACCGGCGAATAAAACGATTTCGATAATTAGACTGAACTGTTGAGTTGTTTACCGTCCATGTGATCTTCTAACCGCTCTCGTTCCTTGCCAAGTTGGACTTGTAGCGATTATTCTTGGCCAGTACCAATCACAGTCACCAAAATTCAAATGCTGGCATGCGATGCTTCTGCATATCACTGATGGATGTAATCTCACTGCTTATTTCATTTTTTTTCTCTCTTTTTTTTGATATATGTGTATATCAACACGATAACAGCTTCTGGGGCTTCCTGGTGACAGGATTTACATTTTTCGTACTTTTTTTCCTAAACTAACAAGCTCATGCCTTCTGCTTCTGGGTCTGTGATGCTCTGTTTTTCTCTCGCTGCCAATTATAGCATATTGGCTTATCTGTACATCCAATGTCTGAATGGATTGGATTTATGATTGTGGGACTGAGATCTGAGCTCATAAATCTGGCTCTGATATTACATCACTGACCTTCAACAGCTTCTCTCCCTGCCTTCATCTAGTCTCCATTCAGACTTCAAAGTAAAAAAATACAGCAACAGAGATATATGACGAGTTTGCCAGTACAATGTTAGATACACTCACCAGCCACTTTGTCAAGTACACCTGTTCAACTGCTCATGAGCACAAATATCAAACCACACAATCACATGGCAGCTACAGCAATCCGAGACCATGTCTGCATGCCTAAATGCTATTAAGATTTTCCTGCAAAAACATACTCAGGATTTACAGAAAACATTCCAAAAAAGAGAAAATATCCAGGAGCAAAAATGCCTTGTTGATACCAGAGGACACAGGAGAATGGTGAGGATCCTTTGAGTTGATAGGAAGGCAACAGTAACTCTCATAACTGCCCGTTACAAATGTGCAAAAGAGTCTTGCTGAATGCACATTACGTTGTGCACCTTGATGCAGACGGGGATACAGCAGCAGAAGCTCACTCCTGTTAGCTAACAACACGAAACTGAGGCTACAGTTTGCATGTAATCACTAAAATTGGACAACAGAAGATTGGAAAATCGTTGCCAAGTCTGGATCGTTTCTTTGTCAATTTCTGCCTCTGATATTTGGACGGTCGGGTCAGAATTTGGTGTAAACAGCATGAAAGCATGAATCCATACTGCCCTGTATCATCTCACTGATCGTGATGTAATATTGGAGGGGATATTTTGCATCACTGAAACATCACAGTATATTTGAGTATAGTTGCTGACCGTGCCAGTCCCTTTATGAACACAGTGTACTCATCTTCTGATGGCTGCATCCAGCAGGATAACGCACCAGGTCACAAAGCTCAGATCATCTCAAACTGGCTTCAACATGACAGTGAGTTCATTGTAGTCACTGGCCTCCACAGTCAGCAGATCTCAATCAATTAGAGCATCTTTGGGATGTGGTTGAACAGTAGATTCACATCATTGGTGTGTGCCCGACAGAGCAGATCTGCAGCAACTGTGTGATGCTATCATGTCAATATGGACCAAAATCTCTGAGGAATGTTTCCAGCACCTTGTTGAATCTATGCTATGAAGAATTAAGGCAGTCCAGTCGGCAACGCAGTATGTGCAAGGTGTACCTAATAAAGTGTCTGGTGAGCATAATTAAATCAAAGAAATACAAATAATAGGAATACGAAAATCGGGAAAATGTTTCAAAAAAATCCTTTAAAAACAATTCAATGGGAACATTTTATTTAGCCTGCAGGGAGTTTTGGAGACGGACACACCGCAACATTCAACAAATCATTTCTTAGCACTGCACTTACAGGGTTGTAACAGTGAACTAAATTAGCATTTCCATATGAACCTTGATTTCCAAGTTGTGATATGGGTAAGTTGCACAGATAAGAAAAAACAAAAAAATATATATATTTTTGTCCATTTCAAGTCTCACTGTAAAGGTTCATTCACTGATTGTTGCATATTACCATCAACAGAAGACCGAGACATTTACTCTCAAGCGAAGATTAAGGAACGTGGACAAGATTTCAGTAGTTACCTATCAAAAACGCTACTTCTGGTCTTTTATTTGCAGAAATGGCACACATCTTCTGTCTCCTAACTCTCTAAACCAGAAATAAACTCACAAAAAGCATGAAAGCTTCTAAGCACGGGCTCTGTGATGGAAGCGTGCGGCCTGCAGATGAGCCCGCCATGCATGTAAAATACATGTCGGGGGATTAGCCAAAAAATGGAATTAGAGGAGGTGGCATTATTCATCAGATAAGGGCCATTATTCAAATTGGACTCGTTATCTCCCGGCAATCTCACACAGTGATTTCACACACACAAACGGGGAAAGACACCAGGGATCGCTGGAACAAATGACTCTTGGTGGAGCAAAAACATACAAAGACAAAAGAACAAGGTGGACCACTCGTGATGCTTTCCACAGACACAATGAATCCAGCTGCTTTGTTTTTACTGAGCTGGAAATTCATCTTCTAAAATAATCATTCAGAAGATGAATATTTAAAGTATTTTCACTGGTCATCTTGAGAGTAGATGCCCGTCTGGACGTATAATTGAGAAGAGAGAGAGAGCGCTACCGTTTCTGTTCTTCATCGCCACCTCCCAGTAGCTCTCTTGCAGCTTTCACTTTTTTGTTTTGTTTTCCACAATCTTACCTTTGCTTTATTTCAGAAACTCCTCTGAAGTACTCACATATAACTCATTTTGAGTTATTCACACCCTCAGTCCCTGTCTGTCTCCACACACACACACACACACACACACACACACACACACACACGACTCATTGATCTGCAGTTGCACAGCACTCCCACCCCCCCTCGCAGTGTGTGTTGATCGTTGCTGAGGCGCTAGGGGGCAATATCTGCCTGATTATCATTCTCCCTGCGTCACAGCTTGACAGTTGGTAAAATGAATACAAAAGGCATAATCTAGGAGCCAATTTGCATGCTAAATGCTGGCGAAGGAACATTTTGTAATGCAGGACTGTGGGTAATGCTGCAGTTAAGCCCAACTTTATCCCTGGGAGACTAGGCTAACGCGATTGTGCTGCTACTGCGTGTCTACCCCTTCCCGTTCACCATCTCTGCCTGACTCCGTTCCCTCCTTGCCCTCGAGCCCCATCTCATCCCTCTCTCTTTGCCAGAAGCCCCCTCTACTTACACTCGATGAGTTCTTTTCACCGCCGGCAGACGAAATGCTCCATCGCTTTTCCCTCTGTGGTGATGAAATGGGAGGGAGAAGACAAGGACGGGGTGAGAGGGAGAGAGAGAGAGGAGGACAGAGGAGGAGGGAGTGGGGTGAGGGGGAGGTGGGGGGTGAGGATCACAGTCACTGACAACTCTGCCCTGAAACAACAGCATTGTTCCCACACCTTCATCAGGTGAGCAGGCAGTTGTTGCTTTGAGCTTACACCTTACCCCTCGTCTCTCCCCGTCTCCATCTCTCTCACCAGCTCTCACGAAAAAAAAAAAATTTATATATATATATATAACACTCTCACACACACACATCATGCACACATGGACAGAAACAGTGCAGACAGTGATCAATGTGTTGGAACAGCCTATATTTTCAATATCCTGATCCGTCAGTGCTTAGAGGTGAACTGTGAATGCGAGGACAGAGTGAAAGAAAAGACTCTACATGCTACACAGCTGACAGTAACTAACAGTAACTACGACTACTATATAAGGGATGCGAGTATGAGTATAATCTCATTCTTGAAGCCCTCCTGCACAGTGCTGGAGGGCTTTGAAGCTCATGTTTTTGGAATGATGTTGAAAGAAGATAACTAATCTGGTTATTAGTGCAAGGAAATGCTATCTTTGCTATCTGCATTATTGATTTTACACTGTAGGTGTTAACATAGCACATAAAAAAAGTTCAAGCTGGGCTATAAAGTGGACGCTGCTGACTCTGTTCTGCCTTTGGCTCAAACACATAAACCGTGTTTCCCCGGCTGTAACGTTGCAATGTTATCCTTCTTTTTTTTTTTAGTCCAAAAGTGTCTGGCATTGGAGTTCTCTTGGTTATTGTGCTGACAGATCAGCGGCTTCATACAGCTATGTGTTTATGCCACGGTGGGCTTGAGGTGGGGACTCATTATTTGGACTCTAACTCCCAGCCCGCCTCAGGAACGGCCCCAGATTGATTCCCAGCAGCAGTTAATATCGAACATATTGACTCAAGCTTTTCTTTTTTTATCCTACATAGTTTTAAGTTTCTGCAAAAAGTTTGCAAAACACCCAAGTCTATGTTCGTATTTATTCTTTTCTTTCTCTATAAAATAGTGAATTGCACAGCTTTCTTTCAGGGAGAGCTTCGCAGAGTTTGTGTGGGTGTTTGGAAGTGTGTCTTGATGTGTGTGACTAGATAAAAAGATGCAAAAATGGTGCCGCTTTGTTAGATTAAAGAGTCTCCCCCTTTAATGTCAAAAAACGACTGTTCAGGAGTCAGATTTATTGTTATCGTGCTTCTTTCTTTCTTCGATCATGTCAATATAAGCTGTGAGCAAAATCTTGTCTTGGGCATGTCCACACTTTTTCTAGCATGGTTGCTGTTTTCAGATCACTCCCAGGAAGTCCCATTATAATCATATTGAACTGTGATGCTGTTTTGGCCCCTGATTTCCTGGATGTGACAGACTGTGATCGCACCATGGATCTCCAAATCTGCGCATAGAGCAAACAAATCCTATTTTAAACCACCCACAATTCTTATGGAGGATGATCACTGGTTATAACAGCTTGTTCTCCAGCACCAACCGTGCAGCTTTCATGTCTTGATGCACGCTCAATCATCCAGGTACGGAAATAGCACAAAGTGGATTCTGTTTATCTGGATGCAGCGTTTTCAGTGGGAGAAACTGAAAACTGAACTACCTTTGACATGAAGCCAACATTACAGAGACACAAGGGCAACTGGTCATAACAAGACTTCCAGGGAGTGCCCTAAAAACAGCAATCGTGCTGAAAGTGGTCCAAAGGGCACAAGAAGACTTTGATATACCTTATTTATATGCGTCAAAAGCCACTAGAAAAGCCAAGCATATTAGGGTTTAGGCAATAGGTTAAACTTAATGGACCATTTCTGAAGGCTGAATTTATGGCTCATTTTTCTTACATGCTTCAGTCATGATAATGAGTACCTCCATATTTCTGCCTTTCATCAATCAAAATGGCAATTTGCGATTTAACAACTACCCTTTAAAAGCCCAGTTTATGCACAATCAGTGCTCACAATTGTACCAAACAATACAGGTTTACATACCTTCGCAATTTAGCACACAAAAGCAACTCACCTGCAGCGCTCCACTGCTGTTTAATGAGGAATCATGGGGTCCCGAAATGTACTTTCCATTATAGTTTTGCAGATACAGCAGGGGAAAATTGAACTCATGTTGCTACTAGCACTGCAAGACCCCAAAAACACCGTCTAACGCTGGGTAAAGAGGTTGGAGCCAGAAAGCAGAAAATTTTGCCCTGCACTTAAAAGTTTCAAGCAAGCTATGAGGTAGAAAACGCTACAAGCTGCAAGCACAACAAAGCGAAGTGAAGAGAACACGTAGGGAGTCAGTGGGAGGGTACGCACTCAAACAACGCTACAGAACAAACATCTAAGGCCATCTCTAGAAGCCTCTGCTACAATGTTGGTGGATGAGGCCCACTCTCTGCCACTCAGAACCCCCCTCATTTGGACTGTGGAATTGGAAATCGTGTCTGAGTGTGGGTGAGCAATGTGGCAGGCTGTCTCTGGGAGATGACAGGTGGGTTGTGGGTAAGTGGGTTAACTTTACCTTTGTTGACTTGGATGCCCATGGTTCTGCTGACTGTCTGGCTACATTCAAACTGGGACATGACAACAAGCATGCAACACAAAGCCCAGTCAGCAAACAAAGGACATAAAACAGGAAGAAAAAAAAAAGAGAAATCAATAAAATGTTGTAGTAAGGCAAAGAAAAGACACTGAGAATTAGGTTCTTGACATGTGTGAATACATAAATAAACTCAAACTGTGACTGGACATGAAGCGAACTGAAATCACAGTTAAACAAGTACAAAATGAAAGTAACATCAAACAATGCAGGAGCAGATTGAGTGGATGCCAGAATACAATGGTCATTTGCATCTATCAGTGGGCTTCAGGGTCACTGAACCGGACCTTGCCTGTTTCAACATTTCTGTGTGTTTATTTCATTATATCATCAAGGTAATGACTGAATCTAGATTGCCTATTCACCACTAGCATAATATATTAGGTGGAGGGTTGGGAGGGGGCAAAAATTGTCCATGCATAGCAGTCCTTAGCACCGTTTACCCCCTTAGCTGGGAAAGAATCTGTGTCACAAGTAATAAGGCCCTTCAAAGGAGCCAAATTTGGAGAATGTAGGGTAAATAAATTCCATTAGTGTAACACATTGCAAACAAACGAGCAATCAGACACACAGGCTTGGTTTGCTGCTGCTGTCTGGGCCTCTGCAATCCAAGGCCACTGCTTCTATAGAGAAAACAGTTCCAGCATGTGATTTGGACCTTTTCACCTCCCTTTAATTGGCCCAAGGACACTAAATGAGCTAAATTAGTATTGTGCCTGTTGGTGCACGAAGCCAGTGTAAGGCTTGTTCCGCCTGGACTACCCGTCCTCTCATTAGGAGCCACTGATAGAGCCAGTGTGCTAACGCTATACTTCGCCAAGCGCTCAGTTTTCATGGGCAATTTGTGTGGAAGGATGAAAACAGCTGATGAATTTATACTCGGCATGAAGAAGGGGAGGGGGAGGCAAGGAAATAATTAAAAACAAGCTAATGAGAGGAATTAATTATTCAATTAATGCCTCAAACGTGACACCCAGGGCTGAGTTTAGAGGGAGGAATGGGAAAATGAGGGAGACAGCGAGAGGGAAAATGTCAAGCTGCGAGGACGAATAGAGGGGAGAATGAGATATGAAGAGGAAGAAGAGGGGAGGACTTGCTTTATTGCTGGAATGTGAAATTGAAACTCCTTAGCTTAATGCCGGCAAATTGACTATCGAGACCTACGGGGTTTGCAAGTGCAGGCAAATTGCCCTGACTGAGTCAACAAAAATTGGCTTCTTTGTCATTTAAAATTATACATCTTCATTTTACGTGAAACATTCTCGGAGCTTGCACATTACCCTGGCTAAATTTCCCTACAGTGGCCTCAAAACCTTGCTGGAATATCAATAAATATCACTAAGACAGCACCCAAGTCTCACCTCACTTTAATGGAGAAGGCTAATGGAGTATCCTCCTAGACAGACTATGCACCAATATGCTTCCATGTGTAGCCTAACAGACAAGGATTTCATCGTGTAATTCTCACACATCCCTACAGCCATTTCAGGCTGAATTGCTACATGCTTTCATAATCGAAAATTTGCCGTTCCTGCTCTGATCTAGCATCAGTAAGAAAATAAAGATAAAAATAAAAAACAAAGCAGGGCTTGTTTTCTCTCTGTCTCTGTCACTCGCCTCTCCTTTTTCCTTCCCGCTGCGTTCTGCGTAAGTCCTCGCTGTCTATCAGGAGAGGGAAGCCAATCCACGCTTCATTTAATCAAGAACACAGCAGACGATGGGATAGAAATATAACCCATCTGAGAGCTAAAAAATACATCAGCCAAGTCATTATGCAGTGGAAGCGCTCTTTCTCACACTCACACACCCACCGTCCATCCCACACACAGCGAGGCACAACACTGCATCATTGGGCACTGCATGCAAATTTGTGTTATGACCTTCTGAACTCTGTGGAATGGATAGAAAATGACAGGCTAACTCCACAGTGACAGAGGCCAAGAAGCTGTTCTAAATCTAAACATTAGTGTAGACACTAATGCTAATACATACTGTGTTACACGCTCTCTGTCTTTTAGTAACCCCACTGACTCCATTTGTATCCTGCCTCGTTTGTGGAATGCACAATGAAACTACGCTCCATCCATCTGCTAGCCATATGGCCCCAGTCAGAGCATCTACTGTACTTAAAACAGAGTAGGATTTGAATTTGTTTTCATCATTAGCATTAATGTGAAGGCCCACTTTCTGTCCACTTCAGCAGAGTGTAACACAAGTGTTATCACTGCAGATATCATTCTCATATGTGGGCAGATGACTTTGTAACTGTACAGAATAACCACTTGATTCCTGGTCAGTAACTGCTGTTCTTGGGTCAACAAAGCAAAATAACAGCTAACAA